AGATTATCTTCTGTGTCTGTGTTAATTGGTTTCCCTTTTCTTTGTTGAAGAGGGTCTGTGCAATCCTTCTGCCTAGTCCGCCATCTTGCCCCGCCTCCGGTTGTGTCAGATTTTTTTAAGGGTTTATTCAAATCAGAATCCAAGTATTCGAACAAGATCAACACATTGTAACTTTTTTTTCTTTGCTATGTTCCTAAATCTTATAATCTGTAAGTTCTTCTGTCATTTCATTTTTTCATTGCTTTTTATTTGTTGGAGGAACCCTGTTGTCTGTCCTGTACAGTTTCCCAAAAGTGAAAAATTGAGATGAATTTAGAGCAGTAGAACTTTATTTTACCTGTTAGTATCAGTTTAAATTGAAAAAAAAAATGGCTTTTTTACAAAAGCATAGAGTTGTACAAAAATTATAATTATGAAAACTGAAAACAAAACAGTTTTCCTTAACAGAATAACGTCTTTGACTTTTTCTCTCCCCAGGTGAAATTCACATAACATAACATAAAATTAGCCATTTAAAGTGAACAACTTAGTGACATTTAATACATTCACAGTGTTATGCATCTACCAACTCTACTAGTTCCAAAACATTATCTTCATTGCAAAATAAAACCCTATACCCATTGAGGGGAGCTCTGGTAGTGTAGTGCCTAAGGCACTGGACTGCTAACCAGAGGGCTGGCAGTTCAAACCCACCAGTAACTCCTCAGAAGGAAGATGGAGCAATCTACTTCTGTAGTGATACTGCCTCGGAAACCCAAGGAGGGGTCGCTATGAGTCGGGTCTGACTCCACGGCACATAACAACAACAACAATATACCCATTGAGCAGTTAAACCCCATACTCTTCCCCCAACCTTGACAATCACCAATCTGTTTCTGTTTCTGTAGTTTTACCTATTCTGGGTATTTCATATATGCATATATGGTCATTAGTGACTGGCTTCTTTTACTTAATTTAATGTTTTGAAGGTTGATCCATGTTGTGGTATGTATCAGTACTTCATTCCTTTTTATAGTTGGGTGATAACAGTTGTATGGATATACCATATTTTGTTTATTCATATCTATTGATGGACATTTAGGTTGCTTCCTTTTATTGAGTACCTGTTTCATTTCTTTTGAGTGTATACCTAGGAGTGCAATTGGTGTGGCTATCTTTTAAAAATGAAAAATACATACATGAGGTTTATAAATTATAAAAACAGGGAGTAAAAACCTCCCTTAACATCCCTCACCACTAAGGTGGACACTGTTAATAGTTTCTTATGATTCCTTGAAGAAAAAAAAAAAAAGAATTCTGTATCATTAAATTTTTTTTTACATTTTTATTGTGATTTGGTTGAAAGTTTACAGAGTAAATTCATTTTCCTTACAGCAATTCATGCACATTTTGTCTCATGACATTGACTGTACTTTCCCACAGTGTAAGAGCTCAGCTCTCTTCCCACTTCCTCCCCATAGTTACCTCTTCCCTGTGTCCTTCCCTCCCATGTACTCCTGCCCCTGGGCTGTCTTTCTGTGCATAGAATGCCCTTTTATTCTCCCATAATTGATCTCTCCAAGTAGTGTATCTACCTAATGTAAATGTTCACCTCATATGCCTGTCTTTGTTTGACTGGAAGCCACAAGAGTGGGTTTCATTCTAGACCTGAAGGGCAGCTAGGGGCCATAGTCTGAGGGGTTTTATCAGGCTCTATCGGACCAGCAAACCTGGTCCCCCTTTTTTTTTTAAATGATTTTGAGTTTTGTACCACATTGTTCTCCCACTCTGTCCAGGATCTCCTACATAGATTCCCCCTCCTAGTGGTTGACTGTGGTAGCCGGGCACCATCTAACTCTTCTGGTCTAATAGTTGTATAAGCTGAGGATTGCGTGGTGTACCAGGACTAATTGTTTCCATGTATCATTTACTTTTGTAAATCTTTATTCATTCAATGATAATAGCTCCATTTTTCTGTACCTTCCTTTTTTTTTTGTAGGTAACTAATTTGGATGACAGTAATTGGGCAACTACATTCTCATCCCAGCGTTCTGGGCTTTTCACAGAGCCTCACAATGTGACAGAGGACATAACACTCAGTGCTGTTATGCTGCGTGAGGATGATCCTGGAGAAGCTGGTAAAATGGATTTGAACTTTGTGATAGAGTGTCGTGTTGCTTTTCTTAGACCAAAGGAACTATCTTCTCTGGTTCGTGAACTTCACTGTAATAGAATTTATATTAATATTGTATTATAGTAATTATATATGTAATTAATTAGAATTATATAAATTATAATTCTATTGTATTAATATAATACAATATAGTAGTTGTTAAACTAAATACTTACGGTGATGGCTAAGCCATTCGATGCAGTAGCTTTGGAAGGTTGAGAATCTCACCTTAGTTCTCAGAGCAGCATCTTGCTGTTTTACCTTTCAGTATAAGTAGCAGCCTGGTAGATTACTAGGTAAGTCTGACTTACTTATTTTTTATACTTTTTATTGTGATTTGGGTGAAACTGGATAACGCTTCAATATCTATTCTTTTCTTATTTGTACTTTTGAAATAGTTTCTCTTCTTTAGTTTTAGTGCGGTTCAAACCCACCAGCCACTCCTCGGAAGGAAGGTTGGGCAGTCCTACTTCCATAGTGATACTGCCTCAGAAACCCAAGGAGGGGTCGCTATGAGTTGGGGCCGACTCGACGGCACATAACAACAACAACAACAACATCATTGGCGTGTTTTGCTTTGTCTGAATGCTAGTGCCATTTTTAAAAACATTGTTGTGACCTTGCTAGTTTTAGGTTTGTTGTCATCATTCTTTTAAAAGACACTTACTGTCTTTTGACAATAAACATTTGCTTTTAGTATCTGTATACACATTATTTCTTAGGTTCTTCATCATTTTATCACCATCATAAGCTAACACAAATGAGTACTAGGCACTGTTAACCACTGTACAAACATTAACTCATATAATCCTTACTAATGAACAAACCAAACCCATTGCCATCAAGTTGATTTTGATTCTAGTGACACTACAGAAAAGAGTAAAACTGCCCTATAGGGTTTCCAAGGCTGTAATCTTTACGGAAGCAGACTGCCACATCTTTCTTCCACAGAGCAGCTGGTGGGTTTGAAATGCTGACCTTTCAGTTAGCAGCCAAGTGCTAAACTACTGTCCTACCATGGCTCCTTATAGTCAGTCCTTACCATCATCCTTTAGATAGTGACAGTAACATTCCCATGAAAATAGAAACTACAGGGAAGGAAACTGCTACTCAAGGAGGTTAATTAAGTTGCTTATTACCACCTAGCTAGGAAGCGATAGCACTAGGATTTGAAGCTAAGACTTTTGCCTCCAGAGCCCTGTTCTTAACCAGTGTGGTAACCACTGCTTCTTGTCATATCTTTCAGCAATACCAAAATAAACCCAATGCTATTGAGTCGATTCTGACTCATAGTGACTCTGTAGGACAGAGTAGAACTTCCCCATAGGATTTTCAAGGCTGTAAATCTTTTTTTTTTTAAGGCTGTAAATCTTTACAGAAGCAGACTGCCTCATCTTTCTCCAGCAGTGTGTCTGGTGGTTTAACCACCCTTGTGGTTAGCAGCCCAGTGCTTTAACCATAGCACCACCAGAGTTTTTCTGTCATTAATAGGTCCTCAAATTTTGAGTGACTCCTCGTAAAATCCTTTGTACTTAATGTATAAGATACAAGAATTCCATTTTTACTATGAATAATCAGTAAGATCTTAAATATACAATATTGTGGTAAGGTATATACAGTTTCCCCTAAGTAGAACATGTTCTTTTAGTATCTACCATATTTTCATGCCAGTAAAACACACATTATATGTTTGTTTGTTTGTTTGTTTGTTTTTTCAAACCAAGCAACCCTCTCATGTTTTAGTTTCATATACATCATGTGCACGTTAGGTGTAAGTTTTCAGACAATTACCTAGAAGGATGCCACTTAACTTTCCGTTGTTCCTTTTTCTATGTGTTCTAGCATCCATGAGTATGTTTTCTGATTTCCTGCAGTCTTTTTTGAAGCACTCTTCAACTACAGTTTTTGATCTTGTAGAAGAGTATGAAAACATTTGTGGTAGTCAGGTAAGCTAATTTCACTGCATCATTGGCCAAATGTTAATACTTTTAAATGTTTTTACACAGCATTAGCTTGTAAATTCTCTATGTTTAAGGGAGATATCTTTAAGACATCAATGCAGGTGTGGTAGGAAAGAAGGAAAGTCAGCCAGAGTACCTGTCCTTTTTTCCATTATGAAGGTCCATATAAAATTTCTTTGGGGACGAAAGGATTTTGCTGCTTTAAAGAAGTAAATGGACTTTGAGAAGAAGAAAACTTTGGAAATTATGACTTCAAGAATAATTAAAATAATAATAGCCAATGATTTTTATGTATTTAATATTGCTTTAACAATTGATCTCTGAATTATTCCATTATAAAATCAGTACTTTCATTAAATAAGGGAACTAGCAATAACAATTTAGTGAATCACTGGAGAATTTAAAATTTTAATAAAGAATGAGATAGAGATTAAGCTTTCATTAAAGACTAGTGTTAAAATACTAATAACTTTACCTTCTGAACACTTTTTAAAGGGTAGAAAAACTTGTGATTCTTCATGTTCTGACTGAGCAAACCTATTTTCTAATTCTCCTTGATAAGAGGTACTAGTCATAATCTTCTAGAAAAGTTTCCCTTACCCTGAGGTTTTAAATCTTGTGAAATTGTATGTGCAATTCTGTATGTGTGCCTGTGGGGAATGTCCATAACTTTCAGTAGGTTTTCACAGGGTCCCAAAAAGGATTTAGAACCTCTGCTTTGGAACAAGAGAATTTAGTGAAGTTTTGTTTAGATGTGAAAGTATTTTTCTTGACTTTTTACATGGTATAAATTGTTCACACATAATTTTTTAAGATACCTAGGTTTTAATTTTCATTACTACTGTGTTTATGTTGTGATTTTACCAGGTACAGTTTAGAGAGAGATAGCTGTGTAACTATATAAAGCAAAAAAACCCAAACACTGCTGTTGAGTCGAATCTGACTCATAGCGGCCCCTCCTTGGGTTTCTGAGGTGGTATCACTACAGAAGTAGATTTCCCAACCCTCTTTTGAGGAGTGGCTGGTGGGTTTGATCCACTAGCCTTCATAGGAAAATAAAAATGGACCCATGGCTGCTGTTGTTGAATCCAAAATCTCGAATATATTAAACTTTTGCATATACGCGTGCACAAATACACCTTACCAAAATTAGGCCTTTTTTTTTAATTTATAAAAATATACACAACAAAACACACATCATCTCAATAATTCCTACATGTACAATTCAATGATATTGGTTTTATTCTTTAAGTTGTGCCACGTTTCTTGATACCCTTTTCCAAATTATTTCACTATCATTAACACAAAACCATTGCCCCCTAAACTGCTCCTTTAACCTTTCAAGTTACTGTTGCCAGTTGGATCATATATAGATAATTCTTTAAAAGAGCACAGTGCTCAAGTCATACTTTTTTTTTTTTTGGCTAATTAAAGTATACTATTGTTTGGTTTAAAAATGGCTTCAGGGGATAGTTTTGGTTTTAAGATATGAAGATTTCCTCAGGGCAGTAATTTCAGGGAGATTGATCATCCAGCCTCAAAGGCTCTAGAAAGGTAATTCTATAGGAATTTAATATTCTGTTCCACATTTTTCACTCTTTTGATCAATATTCTTTTATAGAATAAAGTTAGCTGGGCACTATCCAGTTTTTCTAAATTATGGCAAAGAAGGCAGTTGTTCATGGAGACAATTAGTCAAAACACTCTAGTTCTTCCTCTAATTCCTGACTTCTCTTCTTTTGCTCCAGGCATAGCCATTTGTACCTTAAATGGCCATATTCTTTCTTTCTTTTTTTTTTTCAATTTTTATTGTGATTTTGGTGAAAGTTTACAGAGCAAATTTATTTTCCATACAACAGCTCACATACACTTTGTCTCATGACATTGACTGGAATTTTCCACAGTGCAACAGCTTTCTTTCCATTTCCCACATTTACTTCTTCCCTGTGTCCTTCCTTCCCATGCACTCCTGACCCTCGACCTGTCTTCCTGCATACACAGTCCTTCTATTCTCCCATAATTGATCTCTCCAAGGAGTGTATCTAGCTAATGTAAATGTTCAGCTCATATGCCTGTCTTTTGTTTGGCTAGAATCAATAGGAATGGATTCAGTTCCAGACCTGAAGGGCAGCTAGGGGCCATAGTCTCAGGGATCCACCAGGCTCTATCAGACCAGCAAACCAGGCCCTTTTTTTTTTTTAAACTTGATATTGAGTTTTGTTCTACATTATTCTCCCACTCTATCCAGGATCTCCTACACAGATCTCCCTCTGACTGGTTGACAGTGGTAGCCAGGCACCATCTGGTTCTTCTGGTCTCATAGTCATATAGACTGAGGATTGCGTGGTGTACCAGTCCTTGGACTAATTGTTTCCATGCATCTTTGATTTTCTTCATTCTTCTTTGCTCTGAATGAGGAAAGACCCGTTGTTGCATCTAGATGTTCTCTTGCAAACTTTTAAGATCCCAGTTAGTACTTGCCAAAGTGGGATATGGAATAATGTTTTTCTGTAGTATGTTATGCCAGTTGAGCTTGATGTCCCCTGCGCCATGGGCCTGAGCCCACAGGTCCAACTACTCACTCCCTCTGGGTAGCTGGCTGTGGCCAAGAAGTGACTACAACCTTGCCCCTAGTCATCTCTACTATATACCTGGGAATTCTTAGAGAACATAGAAATACGCTTGTAGAATCGTTGTCTACCATCCCTGTACATGGTCATGGGCACACTCTCTCCTGCATAGACTTGCCTAATCATTCAGGCTGTCTACCCATCTATCCACTTGTAGATCAATGTTTGCCATTGCTGACAACGCAGTACTGTATGTGTGAAAGGGTTCATCTTTGTTGTCTGTACCTCCCATGCACCTCTCTATTCTTCCTTTTCCTCAGTGCCACCATGTTGCTAACTCATATTTGGTACATTGCCCTTCCCTTCACCAAATCAATACTTGTCTCTACCTATCTAGCAGTGTTTCCTCTCCTCTCCTCCCCTCCGACCTGGATAACCAACAAAGAAAATTTTCTTCTATACATAAACCTTTCCTTGACTTTTTACAATTACAATAATGGACTGATACAGCATTTGTCTTTCTGTGACTGACTTATTTCACTCAGCATAATGTCCTCCAAGTTCATCTACGTTATGTGATGTTTTGCAGATTGTGTTATTCTTTAGGGTTGCATAGTATTCTGTTGTGTGTATATACCATAATTTGGTTATCCATTTTTCTGTTGATGGGTACCTAGGTTGTTTCCATCGTTTTGCTATTGTAAATAGTGCTGTGATGAACATGGGTGCGCATATATCTGTTTTTGTCCTGGCTCTCACTTCTTTAGGATATATAGCTAGTAAGGGAATGGCTGGGTCAAATGGTATTTCTAATTCCAAATGTTTAAGGAATCGCCATACTATTTTCCACAGTAGTTGTATCATTTTACAGTCCTGCCAGCAGTGCATGAGGGTTCCAGTCACCCCATACTCTCACCAGCATTTGTTGTTGTCTGTTTTTTTGAACTTTGCTGTTCTTTTTGGGGTGAGATGATATCTCGTTTTGATTTGCATCTCTAATGGCTAATGATTACAACATTTTTCCATTTGTTTATTAGCTGCCTGAATGTCTTCTTTGGTGAAGTGTTTGTTCATGTCATCTGCCCATTTTTAAATTGCACTATTTGTCTTTTTGTTGTAAAGGTGTTTAAGTTTTCTATAAATTTTAGGGATTAGCCCTTTGTCTGATATGTCATTGCCAAATTTATTTTCTCAGTCTGTGGCTTCTTTTTTTATTCATTTGGTGAAATCTTTTAATGTACCTAAGTGTCTAATTTTTAGGAGGTCCCAAAAAACCAAACCAAACTTACTGCTGTCAATCAAGTTGGATCCGACTCACAGCAACCCCTCCTTGGGTTTCTGAGGCAGTATCACTCCAGAAGTAGATTGCCCAACTTTCCTTCTGAGGAGTGGCTGGTGGCTTTGAACTGCCAGCCTTCTGGTTAGCAGTCAAATGCCTTAGGTACTATGCCACCAGAGCTCCATTAGGATGTCCCAGGTATCTATTTTGTCTTCTGGTATTGGTATGGTTTATGGTGGCATAGTGCCTAAGGCATTTGACTGCTAATCAGAAGGTTGGTGGTTCAAATTCGCCAGCCATTCCTCGGAAGGAAGATTGGGCTACTTCATGATGGTACTGCCTGGGAAACCCAAGGAGGGATCGCTATGAGTCAGATCCATCTTGAGGGCAAGGAGTTTGGTTTTTGGTTTGTGAGTTTACATTCAATAATGTATTTATGCCCTGAATTAGGGCCCGTGAGTATGTCCCTGTTCCTTCTTTGATGATCTTTCTGGTTTTATGTTTTATATTCAGGTCTTTGATCTACCTTGAGTTCATTTTTTTATATGGTGTAAGGTTTGGGTCCTGTTTCATTTTTCTGCAAAAGGATATCCAGTTTTTAAAAAATAATTATTTTTTAAAAAATATTTTAAGTACTAAATTACTTCTTTTTACAATAATTATTAGAAATACATACAACTATGGTGGCTGTATATAGTAGGTTTTGAGATCAGGGAGTATAAGGCTTCCTACTTTGTTCTTCTTTGGTAGTGCTTTGCTTATCTGGGGTCTCCTTCCTTTCCATATAAAGTTGGTGATTAATTTTCTCTTCTCTTTAAAGAAAGATGATGGAATTTGGATCAGGATTGTATTATGTCTATACATCGCTTTGGGTGGTATTGACGTTTTCACGATGTTAAGTCTTCTGTCTATGAGCATGGTGTAGTTTTCCATTTATGTAGATATTTTTTGGTTTCTTGTAATAGTGTTTTGTACTTTTCTTTTTATAGGTCCTTTGTATCTGGTTAGATTTGTTCCTAAGTACTTTTTCTTTTGGGTGGTTATTTATTGGAAAGGAATAAATGGTATTGCTTTCCTGATTTCCTTTTCAGAGTTCTCTTCTTTCGTGTAGAGGAATCCAACTGATTTTTGTCATGTTGATCTTGTATCCTGCCATTTTGCCAAAAATACCAGTTATTTTTAGTAATTTTCTTAATGAGTCTTTGGGATTTTCTGTGTATAAGATCATATCATCTGCAAATTGAGATAGTTTTACTTCTTTTTTTGCCAATTTGGATACTTTCTATTTCATTTGCTTGCCTTATTGCTCTGGCAAGGACTTCAACTACAGTACTGAATAAGAATGGTAATAAAGGTCATCCTTGTCTGGTAGCCATTAGTAAGGGAAATGCTTTCAGTCTCTCTTCATCGAGAATATGTTGATCATTGGTTTTGTACATATTTAGATGGCCACCTTCAAGTTTTTAAGACCCCAGGCATTACATATCAAACTCTAAAAGGTAGAAGCCACCCATTGTCATTGAGTCATTTATGACTCATAGTGATCCCCATTGGGTTTCCAAGGCTGTAAATCTTTGTGGAAGTAGAATATCTCATCCTCCTGCAGAGCAGCTGGTGGGTTTGAACTGCTGACCTTTGGGTTAACAGCCAAATGCCTTACCTACTATACCACCAAAACTCTTTAGAAGATAGAACAGAAGTTCTAAAATCAGCATTAGAACATTTGACTGGGATGTCACATGAACCATGACCCTAAACCTCCAAACCAAGAAAACAAATCCCATCATGTGTTTGGTTGTACATAGACTGTATCAACAGCTGCTTTTAAAAATAATTATTAGTAATACATGTAACAACATTTAAATTAAGTCTGTATTTAACGGGAATGTTACATTGAATTTAACTCAGACATACAGGATAGGCAGGAAAGATACATAATCGTATAGTTTTAGCATAGCTTATTTGAAGAATACAAAGTTATTAATGAGACTTAAAAGTTGCATAAAATTAACTTCTGTTGTCTGTTTAATTCAGGTGAGTATACTGAGTAAAATAGTGAGCCGAGCGACTCCTGGACTTCAGAAGTTTTCAAAAACAGCCAGTATGCTCTGGCTTCTTCAACAAGAGATGGTCACATGGAGACTGTTAGCTTCTTTATATAGGTAAAATTGTGTAGAATTCATAAATAAAATAAGCATAAGGTGACAAACTAATAGGCAAATTAATTTACAAGTTAGAGTGGGTAGCATATGTGGTGATATTTATATTTTTACAATAAAAAAATGGGTTATGTTTGGAAATATGTTTTGCTATTTTTGATGCTTTTCTAATTTTAATACTTTAATTGTTAGACATGGGTTATGGGAGAAGAGGGGGCTATCAGGTCATATAACTAATAGCTAACAAAAACTGGAATACACACACACACACACACACACAAGGAGGTCTGGTAGTGTAGTGCCTGAGGCACTTGACTGCTAACCAGAACACTGGCAGTTCAAACTCACCAGCCACTCCTCGGAAGGAAGGTTGGGCAATCTACTTCTGTAGTGATACTGCCTCAGAAACCCAAGGAGGGGTCGCTATGAGTCAGGTCTGACTTGACGGCACATAACAACAATAAAAATATACACACACACATATACATTTTTTTTAAATAACATGTTTTTGGTGACAGTTTACACAGTTTTTTTTTAATATGGAAGTGCTAAAGTACTGTAATACTTATGAAAAGATGGATTAAGAAAAAGAGCAGAAAAGTAGATGTAGTAGGTGCTGATAAGGAGATTTGAAAAAAGTTAACCAGATATACCTTCTCTGACAGTTTCAGCTTTCATTCTCTTGGTATCTCATCCTAATGAGAAAATCTTGAAACAAACTCATAATGTTTTTTTTTATTTTTGCTATGGGAAAATGTTATATTAAAAAGACCTCTCATCCTGGCAGTAATGGCACTAATCAAAAAAAAAACAGAAACAGCTACTGCTGGAGAAGATGTGGGGAGATTGGAACTCGTGTGTGTGTGTGTGTGTGATTTGGGTGAACAGATTAGAACTCTTATACAGTGCTAGTGGGACTGTAAATTGGTACAACTTCTCTGGAAAATGGTATGGCACTTCTTAACAACCTAGAAATAGAAATACCATACAGTCCAGCAATACCACTCCTAGGTATATATTCTAAAGAAATAAGAGCTGTGACATGCATAGACATATGCACACACATGTTCATTGCAACAGCATTCACAGTAGCAAAACAGTGGAAGCAACCAAAATGTCTAGCAACGGATGAATGGATAAACAAACTGTGGTACACACTTATAGTGGCATACTGTACGGTGATAATGAATAATGATAAATCCGTGAAAAATTGCACAACATGGATGAATCTGGAGGGCATTCTACTAAGTGAAATAAGTCAATCACAAAAGGACAAGTATTATATGAGGCCATCATTGTAAAAGTTGAGAACAGATTATACATAGAAAGAAAGACCTTTTGATGGTTACTAAGGATGGGATGGGAAGGAAGAGAGAATCAGTAACTAGATGGTAGACACATGTTAATTCAGGTGAAAGAAATATACAAAAAGGGCAGAGTCAGCACAGTGTGATCAAGGCAAAGGAAGACACTGAGAGGTATGTAAGAATAAAGAGCCAAAAACAAAACCAAACTTGATTCTGACTCATAGTAACCCTCACTGGGTTTCCAGGCCTATAAATCTTTACAGAAGCAGAGTGCCTCATCTTCCATGGAGCGGCTGATGGGTTCAAACCATTGACCTTAGCATTTGGTTAGCTGCCAAATGCCTTAACTACTACACCACCAGACCTAAGAATAAGGTAGAATGAGGGTAGTTAGAGTAAATTATATAACATATACAATCTTGTAACAACAGTAATAACAATAGTTTATAAATGGATGCAAAAGTAGATAATGTATGCTAAATAGATGTGGAAGATCGTACAGGAATACAGCCATGTGCATATACATAGGTATGGTTGTAACTATTTCCGCATATGTATTTGTAAGTGCTGCATGTATATCCATATATATAATAGAGCACACAGTTATGGAAACAACTTAGATATAACAAACACTTTGTGGGACTGAGCTGCCAGGCTTGAAAGCTAAGGACTGTGGTCATGGTGGACATCTAGATCAATTGGTGTAACATAATTGGCATAAAGATAATGTTCTGCATTCTGGTTGAGTGAGTGTGGGGTCTTAAAAGCTTGCAAGAGGCCATCTAAGACAACTGTTGGTCTCTTCCTATCCGAAGCAAAGGAGAATGAAGAAAAACAACGACTCAAGCAATTAATACAAGGACCAATGTCCCACATGAACCACAGTCTCCTCTAACCTGAGACCAGAAGAACTAGATGGTGCCCACCTACCACTATTGACTGCTTTGACCAGCAACACAATAGAAGGTCCTGGTTAGAGTGGGTGAAAAACGTAGAACAAAATCAAATGCATGAAAAAGATCAGACTTACTGGTCTTAAAGACTGGAGGAACCCAAGATTGTTGCCCTAAGACAGCCTTCTAACTTGGAACTGACACCACTCCCAGAGAACACCTTTCAGCCAGATAATAGACTGGCCTATAAAATAAATAACACCTGGGAGGAATATGGGCCTTAGAACAATCAACTATAAGAGACCAGAAGGGCAACATCTGCCCAAAAGCAAAGATGAGAAGGGAGGGAGAGGCAGGGGAAGCACGTGAGTGGAAATGGGGAACCCAGGATGGAAATGGGCAGAGTGTTGACACTGCATGGATTGCATCCAGTGCTACTGAACAATTTGCTTATGAACTATTGAGTGAAAAACTACTTTGCTATATAAACTTCACCTAAAGCACAATATTTTTTTTTTAAAGGTGTATCCATTAGCAGGAGAACTAAGCTTGTCTTTTTACCATAGTAAAGTTACTAATAGTGACAATTTTTGCTTTTTTTTTTTTTTTAAGCAAATACCAGGTTTGTTCAGTTGTTGACTTACTACCTAGCTCTTATATTTAATAAGTGATGACAAAGTTTTTTGGGAACATACTTGTTTTTGCTGGGTAGAATGCATGTTTGTGCTTGCATATGTATTGCTTAAAAGCTGCTTTCATATATTCATGTGAAATAAAGCTTTTTCTTTTTTTCCCCCAGAGATAGAATACAGTCTGCATTAGAGGATGAAAATATGTTTGCAGTTACTGTAAGTTTTGCATTATTTTGTTTCCTTTCCTAGTGCTTAAAAATTATAGAAAATGCTTTTCATTATTTGATTTTTCAACCTTCTTTCTGACATCTCTTCATTTTAAAAGTTTTAAAAATAAAAAGTACAATTCCATAGAAAAACTTTTGACTTATAAAAGGCAAAAAGTCTTTTATCCATCATACTGTTCAGTCTAATAATTTGATATGTATCCTATAAGATAAATTTATGTACATATATACATATATACAGTTTGTCTTTTTAACATATAGTACGATTACACTTGTATATTATACTGAGAAGTATTATATTTTATATAGTTCTTGTGTTCGTCTCTATAAAGTCCTAGGGGAAGTGTTCTGGTTACCTAGTACTGCTCTTAGTACTGTTCTGACAAGAATATACCACAAATGGGATGGCCTTAACAAACAGGAGTTTCTTCTTTTACAGTTCGGGAGGCTAAAAGTCCAAGTTCAAAGTGCCAGGCTCTAGGGGCTGGGTGAAAGCCCCTCAACCTTGGGGTCCAGCTCTGCCTCCTGCTTCTGGCCCACTGGGAGCTAGAGGCGTTTCTTCACTCAGACAGCTGCTGGCTGCTGAGACTGACAAGCCCAAGGTTGACAAGTAAAAAGGCACAGTCCCAATGTTACCAAACCACATGGCAGGCCAGTAATTCAAGTCCATTGGAAGTCCCAAGGTCGGCAGAGCATGGCAGGCTGCTGAGCAATGACAAGGCTACATGCAGGGTCCAAGCATGCCATATGCTCAAGACCATTCCCAAGGCTTCTCCTTATATATAGGAAGCAGACCACATCCCAAAGGCAGCTACTCAGCTGCTTGTGGTAGATCCCACATGGAGTTTGATTGCCAGTCTCATCATGGGGAATAACTACCACCAGCTGCCCAGCCACTCAACCAGGCCCAGCCACGTTGACACACAAACATAACTACCACAGGAACCCTATTGTGAATTGATTTCTTTCTTTATTATATTTTCTAATTAGTTACTACTGTCAACTAGGACACTGTTGCTTTTATGTTGTTGTTGTTGTTGTTATGTGCCATCGAGTCGGCCCCGACTCATAGCGACCCCTCCTTGGGTTTCCGAGGCAGTATCACTACGGAAGTAGGATTGCCCAACCTTCCTTCCGAGGGGTGGCTGGTGGGTTTGAACTGCCAGCCTTCTGGTTAGCAGTCAAGTGATTTAGCCACTATGCTACCAGAGCTCCCGTTGCTTTTATGTAGAGCTTGTATTTGACCACCTTTCTGAACTCTCTTATTATCCTGTATGTTTTTAATTTTATTCTGTTATTTCTATGTAGGCACTCGTCATTTACAAATAAATTATTTCCATTCTTTATAGCTCATTCATTTACTTGCCTCCTTGCTTTAACTAGGAGCACCCACAAAACATTGAATTACATCTGTAATAGGCAGTCATTCTTTTCTTGTTTCTGACTTGTGATAAGAATGATTTTCTCTTTCGTCTTTGCATTTGGTATTTTACTATAGGACTTTTTTTCTCCTCACTTGATGTTAGAATAGGTATTGAATGGAGTCAAATGTTGTTTAGCTTTAATTTGTTATTTATTGCAAGGTTTATAATGCCTTGCAATGATAGATTTCCTAATGTTGAATTACCTTTCAATAAAATAAACTGTCAATCATGATGTATTATTCCTAAATAAACTACTAAAGTTCATAAGCTAGTATTTTCTTTGGGACTTTACCAAATGTATGAGTTTGTGTTTGTGTGTGTGAGTATATGTTACCCTCCTTCACTTTTTGGTGTCTACAGTCATGTTAGTTCTTCAGAACAAGTTCAGCATCTTCTGTCTTTTTTTGTACTCTGATTTAAGAAGATAGGAATTATCCTTTGAAAACAGAAGTAAACTCACTGCCATCGAGTTGATTCTGACTCATGGCAACTCCCATTGTGTTTCTAAGGTGGTAAATCTTTAACAAAGTAGATTACCCCATTTCCCGTCTGTGGAGTGGCTGGTAGGTTTGACCTGCCAACCTTCTGGGTAGCAGTCAAATACCTTAGGCACTGCACCGCTTGGTAAAATACACCTATAAAACCATCAAGGCCAGATGCCTTTTTTGGGTTTAATTACATTTTGTTTTCTGGTTAAAAAAGTATTTCATACTTAAGGTAATTTTATTTATGTGTGCATATACATGTATGTGGGAGCACTGGTAGCATAGTGGCTAAGGCACTTGACTGCTAACCAGAAGGCTGGCGGTTCAGACCCACCAGCCACTCCTCGGAAGGAAGATGGGGCAATCTACTTCCGTAGTGATACTACCTCAGAAACCCAAGGAGGGGTCACTATGAGTCGGGTCCGACTCGACGGCACATAACAACAACAACAACATACGTGTATGTATGTGTGTGTGTGTGTGTGTGTGTGTATAAAACAAATAATGCATTTTTTAATAAGTGATTTCTGCCATACATATTAGGAGCTCTGGTAGCATAGTGCCTAGGCGCTTCACTGCTAACCAGAAGGCTGATGGTTCAAACCCACCAGCCACTCCTCGGAAGGAAGGTTGGGCCTCGGAAACCCAAGGTGGGGTCACTATGAGTCGGGTCCGACTCGACGGCACATAACAACACCACCACCACCACCACCATATATATTTATTAACTGCTTTTTCACCTAAAATATTTTTTTATGTCATTATGTTTATACCTATAGGTCCTTTTTTAAGGAAGTGAATTCTAAAATTAGTTAAGCAATGCAATCATGAATGTACCTAAACATTATATCTTTGTATAGTTATTTGGTTATTCCTTAATAAACTAGAATTTCTCTGTCAAGAGGTTTTCTACATTTTAAGCCTTCCACAGCATATTATCCTCCAGAAAGGAAGCCCTCTCACCAATGGATGATATTTTTTCTCAGAAACTATACCAAACCTGGTAGTATATTTATTTTTAATCCTTTAATTCCACAAATACTTATTTCATTCCAACAGTGTGCTGTGTACATCTTGGAAGACTATTTTACATATATTTATCTTATGTTTGATCACCTTACTGATCTCACTTATTAGTTTTTTCCATTGATTATCTTTGGTTTTATAGGTTGGCAATCCTGCTATATACAAATAGTGATGACTTTGACTCTTATTCTATACTTACTATTGCTTGTTTATTTTTTCTGATTTTATTATATTAGCTAGAACTTTCAAAGTAAAGTTGAGAAGTATCAGGAATTCTTTTTCTTTTCATCTTTTGGACTTCGAAGGAAGTACCTCAAATACTTTATAAATTTGACCTGTGCTTAAACTTGATCAGAATATTTTATCTTTTTAATATGTTGCTTAGTTCTGTATAGGAGCTCTGATAGTACAGTAGTTAAAGCATTTGGCTGCTAACCAAAAAATTGGCAGTTCACACCCACCAGCTGCTCCACAGGAGAAAAATGAGGTAGTCTGCTTCAGTAAACATTTACAGCCTTGAAAACCCTGTGGGACGGTTCTACTCTCTGTCCTATAGGGATGCTATGAGTTGGAACCAACTTGATAGCAGTAGGTTGGGTTTAGTTCTGTTTGCTAGTGTTCATATCAAGTCATCTTTTAAAATCAATCTTACTAGCCTTTGATAGTTCTTTCGTCTTATCACCTGTCATCCTCTGCATGGAGAATGAAAAGATTATTTAAAGTTTTTAAATTTTCATTTTCTTTTCTAATATGTAACATGACTATATCCAACTCTTTGTTTTGTGTTTAATTTTTCCCTTAAAATAATATCTTGGGGAAAATAAAAGTTAACGTTGGCAAGCTTAGTCAAAGAAGTATAATATCAGGTAGGAATAGCTGTTAATTAATCTGGCAGTTTGAAATGTGAATATTTTTCAAAGGTGAATATAGATTTGCCATGTGATAAAATGTTCGGGTATGGGTGATTAAGTATACTTATTTCAGATTCTCTTTTACCTTTTTGTTGTAGTGATATTCTTGGAGTATCTTTTCTTCCTTCCTTCCTTTTAAAGAAAATTTACTATTTTTTTTAAATAGGCTTTTAGTGCCAGTGAAAAGGCAGTTGTGGAAGCATTATTTCAGAGAGATTCACTTGTCCGACAAAGTCAGGTATGAATCCAATTAAGTTTTTTTTTTTTAAATAAAACTTGGAGACATGGTAAATAACACACCTAGAACTAGGGTTTTTTTAAAATTTAAAAACTGTTTTTCTTACATTTTTAATTAAGCCTTTTTAGTAATTAAAAGAAATTAAGAACCTTGTTCTGTGATTTTAAAATAGCAGCCTACTGCTGTTTCCAGGAATAACTTTATAAAAACTGTGCCCTTCCTAAGAAAAGTACATTCTCTTGTCATAATACTTATTTATTTTGAAAAGTTAGAATAGAGGTTAGAAAATTGCTGCTTGATATTTCTGAAATCAGAAACTTTTTCTTTCTTTCCTAGTTGGTGGTAGATTGGTTAGAGAGCATTGCCAAAGATGAGATTGGAGATTTTTCTGATAATATTGAGTTTTATGCAAAATCAGTATATTGGTAAGTCACTAAACTTTTACTCATGAATATTGGTTTTGTTCATTCAACAGATATTTATTTAGTTCTTACTATTTGCCATGTGCTATTCTGTTAATAAGGAGCTATGTGTCGGGGCCGACTCCACGGCAAATAACAACAACAACAACATTCTGTTAGTAAGCAAACCAGGTAAAAGCCCTGTCTTTGTAGTATTTATAATTTTTTAAAAAGTTAGCAGATAAATATAGTTCCCCTCAGGTGAAAGTTGTTGGAGTTCTGGTGGCACAGTGGTTAAGGTATTCAGCTGCTACACAAAAGTTGGTGGTTCATACTCACCAGCTGCTCTGTAAGATGAGGCAGTCTGCTTCCATAAAGATTTGCAGTTCTTCTCTGTCCTATAGTGTTGCTATGAGTCAGAATCAAGTTGATGGCAGTGGGTTTGTTTTTTCAGTAAGAGCTTTGGGGAGGAAAAGAGAATCAGCTGAGGGCTAGAGGATGACAGTGGATACTATTTTAAATAGAACAAGCAGTCAGAGAAGGCCTCTCTGAGGAAGTAACTGTAAAAGAAATAATTGAAGCCGCCTATGCAGAAATCTGGGGGACAGATGTTCTAGGCAGGAACAGAAATTGCAAAGACCTTGAGAAGGTAAAGTATTTGTACAAGGAGGCCAGTGTAAACACAGCAAGACAAGAATGGTAGGACATGGGATTGGTAGCCACCAGATCATATAGGGCTTTTATGGGTTGTTGTTGTTTGTTGTTACGTGCCGTCGAGTCAGCCCTGACTCATAGCGACCCCTCCTTGGGTTTCCGAGGCAGTATCACTACGGAAGTAGGATTGCCCAACCTTTATGGGTAGGTCAACATAAAAATTTGGGGGTTTATTTTAAGTAAAATCGTAACATGATCATCAAGAAGACACATCTGCCATGTTTCTCATGAATTGTGCTTTTTAAAAAAAATTTTTTTCCTACATCTTTAAATTATTATAGGACCTTGAAGCCAGGAAGCACCATTAGGGATAATTTATTTCAAAACTTGAAAAAGTCCAGATTACCTTTGAATTCAATAGTGCTGTGTATATATATACAAAGTCTATAAGTGAAATATATCTTTTCTCTGCTTAACTAGACAATTAGTGTTACTCAAGGTTTGTTAAACGTTAAATTTGAATTGTTAATTGTTAATTTTTCTGAGCAAAAGAGATTCTCACTTTCAGAAACAAAAAGTATATATTTAAGTTAAAGTTCCTATCTATGTTGAGGGTTTTTGCAAGTTTTTCATGAGTGTTTTTTATATATAGCATACAATAGACAGCCCAGTAATAGACCTACACTTATGTGGCATTTGGTTTCCAGCAAAAGTGTCAAAGTAAGTCAATGGAGAAAGGAATGTTTTTCCAATAAATCATGCTGAAAAAATTAGCTACTTATGTGGAAAATGATTAACCTTGATCCCTACCTTATATCATACCCAACAGTTATTTCAAGATGGATTATAGATTTAAATGTAAAAAAGCTAAAATCATAAAGCTATTAGAAGAAAACAGAATATCTGTGTGACTTGGGGTATGTGTTTCTGAGATGATAGAAAGCAATTACCAGGAAAGAAAAAATGATTTGACTTCATCAAAATTTACTCATTAAAAGACACCGTTAAGAAAATGAATAGGGGTAAGCTGTAGGCCGTAAGAAAATATTCCCACAACTTCTCTCTGACAAGGATTCATAAAGAACTACAACCCAGTAATAGAAAGATAACCCAATAAAAAGGGCAAAGGATTTGAACAGACATGTTACTTAAGTAGATAAATAGCTAATAACTACATGAAAAAGTACTCAACATCATTAATTATCTGAGAAAGGATTGTCTATCTTAGTAAAGGTTTGAGTACACAGGAGTATGCATTCATTAAACAGTGAATGTACACTTAAGATTTGTGTGTCTTATTACATGTGAATTTTAGAAAACTAAACAGTATTAAGGAAGGTTGGGCAATCCTACTTCTGTAGTGATACTGCCTCGGAAACCCAAGGAGGGGTGGCTATGAGTCGGGCCGACTCAATGGCAAACAACAACAACAAACAGTATTGTACATCTTAAAATTTTTAGGCAATACATCAAAAAAAAAATTGAATTATTAGATAGCTAGAAGGCTAGATGGATAATGTAATAAAACCCCCCAAAATATTAAACCCACTGATGTTGAGTTGATTCTGACTCATAGCAACCCTACAGGACAGAGTAGAACTTCCCTATAGGGTTGCCAAACCAAAAAAAAACCAAACTCATTGCTGTTGAGTTGGATCTGACTCGTAGTGACCCCTCTTTGGGTTTCCAAGGCAGTATCACTATGGAAGTAGATTGCCCAACCTTTCTTCTGATGAGTGGCTCATGTGTTTGAACTGCCAGGCTTCTGGTTAGCAGTCAAATGGCTTAGGCACTATACTGCCAGAGCTCCCATAGGGTTTCCAAGGCTGTAAATATTTACGGAAGCAGACTGCCACATCTTTCTCCTGTGGAGTGACTGGTGGGTTCAAACTACTGACCTTTTGGTTGGCAGTTGAGCACTTTAACCACTGCACCACCATAATAAAAAGTTAATAGTAGAGTTCAAGTGATGACTATAAAAGTCTTTCAACTTTGCTATATGTTTGAAACTTTATAATAAAAGGTTGATGGGAAGTACAATTTAAGGGAAAACTAAAATTAAAATTCCCTTCTGTATTGAAGAGTTTTGCATGTTTCTTCTGAGTTTGTAGTCTCATTTATTACTGTGACTTGACTTGATTTTTTTTTAATAGACATATTAAATTATTTTTATTTTTAAGTTTGGTGCTTTTTCTTTTAGGGAAAATACTCTACATACCTTGAAACAGCGACAGCTAACTTCTTATATAGGAACTGCCCGCCCACTGGTCACTGAATTGGTAAGTGTTCTTTGAAATGAAAGTTGTCTTCAAAGTTAAGTGATTTTTTTTTTTTAAGGCTGAGGAGTTTTCTTTTCTTGAATCTTTGTTTTAGTTTACCAAAAGTTTGCATAAACGTTAACTCTAAACAACTACACTGAGTTTGAATTTGGTGGAATGTTATTTGAACATACGTGTGTATTCCACATATATGTTACCTTATGAAAGAAAATGGAAATTGTATGTGGTTTGCCAGCATTAAAAAATTAATTTTCGTCTTACAGCAAAGTTTGAGCTCCTCAACTAAAGGATAGTGACCTATGAAAACATATGTATATAGGAAGCAGGGAAAAAAATAAGCTTTCTAGAATATGAGTTACAGGAATAACGTTTAGTGGATTTTTAAAAAATGGACTTCTGATTATTGCAGAAATAAATAAACAGCTATGTATAGATGGAACATATGAAAGAAAGATTTATAGTGAAGAGTGGGGAGAAATAAATAGCCATTAAAATTTTATAAGTGATTTTGTATGAAATAGTTTGGAAACTACTATAAAAGCATGAAATGAACTATCTAAATTCCCTGTAGCAAGCACCAGATAAAAGTCATTTATTCATAACATCTGGAAAGAGGTCATTTCTTTTGGTCAGAAATCATATCTTAATATTGAATGATTCAAAATTAAGCTCATTTATTTTGCTAACTTCTGCAAAATATGTGTGAAAGTAGCCAATTGACCTATTATGCATTCTATTTCCTGAATTTATATTCTTGATACCATACACTCAGTAATATTTGAAAGTACATCCTTCCTTTTGTCACGTTAATTTTTCATTTGAAATTCATCATGTAGATCATGCGTGCTGTTTGCCAGTAAATTTACTGAGCTATTTATGAATAGTATGTAATCCCAGATGTTTAAAAACACATTTCTTCCTATTCATGAAGGTAAAAATAGCTTTGCATTTTCAGGAGGGAAGTGGGCAACTCTTTAGAAATCAGTTTAAAAAAAAAAAAATTTTTTTTTTTTTTTTTTTTTACCAGATATTGATGTATCTTATATGGCATTAATCCCATAAGGGATATTTAAAGGGCTGTCTTCTTGTATGTTCCAGAAAGTACCAGCTGAGCACTTTCTAGTCACAGAATAGATTGGGAGTGCTTCAGTTCCTCCTCTTTGCTTATCCTCCATCTAGGTCTAATTTTGTTTAGAATTAATTTGGCTAAATAGCATACAGAGTAAAACTCAGTTCATCTTGAATGATAAGTAACATTTCTAGAGTTACCTTGATGGGCTAGGCCAGTGGTGTTTTCACCTTGCCTCACCTGTACATGCAGCTTTGTGGGCCAATGGAGTCTATTCAGAGTGGTATAGCAGATAGTTGTGTGGCTATTTGGAACATCTGTGACACTTTCCTTCTCTTTGCTACTTAATTTAAAATGAATATGTTTTAGTATATAAACTCAAGATAGATTTATCACCTTTTGATGATGGTTAAAATGTATGTGTGTATAGTGAATTTTTAATTAATGATGATTTTTTATTAATAGGACCCTGATGCCCCTATAAGACAGAAAATGCCCCTTGATGATCTGGATAGAGAAGATGAAGCCAGATTACTCAAATACATTTTCACTCTAATCCGTGCTGGGATGACAGAAGAGGTGAATCATGTATAACCTGTTTGTCTGATTTTGAAATATCATAGACTCTTTAACCTGGAAGGGATCTTTGTGAACATGCCTTTTCAATGCAGGAAACTTTTCATGGTATTTCTAGATCTAAACTCCTCTTTGAACATTTCCAGTGATAAACATACTGCTTCAGAAAATAGCCCCCTCTAGTTTAGTCCAATTCTAATTATTAGAAAATCTTTATAAGTCAAACTTTGCCTCCCTATATTGCATCCTAAACATGTCCCCATTATTTCTGGTGCTGATTTTTAAGAGTTGAGAATAAGTCTAACCCTAATTGCTCTTCCGGAACTTGAAGGCTATGGTAGCCCTCGCACTTTTTCCTTTTGATAGTTAAGATCTGGTATACAGATTGTTAAATATCTCAGTAGATAGCTGGGTGGCTTTGTGTACTCTTCACATGAGACATCTGATGTGTAGACACTTTCAGGTATTTGTTGTTGTTGTTATGTGCCGTCGAGTTGGACCCCACTCATGTTGACCCCTCCTTGGGTTTCTGAGGTGATATCACTACGAAAGTAGATTTCCCCATCTTCCTTCTGAGGAGTGGCTGGTGGGTTTGAACCTCCAGTCTTCTGGTTAGCAGTCAAGTGCCTTAGGCACTATGCTACCAGAACTCCCTTTCAGGTATTAGATTGTACCTGTTTTGAGGTATTCTTGGTGATGTTCTTGAATAGATGCATGTTAGTTCAAAGTGTTGTTTCCTGTTGCTTTTATGTTATAAGTGATTCAAATATGTTAAGTAATTTCTTATAGTGGTAGGTTATGGGTTATTAGCATCATTTTTACTTTTAATGAAGAAAAGGAGTTCATACCACATACTCTTTCATTCAGAAAATAAAGTCCCAGCCACTTCACCAGGTAATGTGCAAGAAATAGGAATCATATGGTAAACAAAAGAGATTTATTTTTAGAAAGAGAAAACAAAAATATCACATTACTGAAGGCTAAGAAAATGGAAACTCTCAAGGTCCCACTACCTTACATAAACACAGGTAGTGTTGTGTTTACTTACAGGCTCTTTTCCTTTGTACCTGCTTTTCAACATAGTTATAATCACAGTATTCATTAATACATTCAGTTTTTACCCCACCTTTTTTAGATAGGATTTCAAAACATTTTTCCATGTTGTTACATAGCTCTCATAATTTTTAAAGGCCATAAATTCAGAATGATGTTTGGGGTGTGATGTTCCTTAACAAATTGTATTAGTTAGGCTCTCTAGGTTCAGGTGACAGAAATCCAACTCCAAGTACTTTAAGCTTACAAAGGAGGAATTGATCGGCTCATGGAACTGGGAAGTGTAGAGAGTTGTGTCTGGCTTTAGGCACTAGTGACAGTGATTTAAAGATGTGTTTTGGATACTGTCTCTTTTTAGGCTCTTGACTCTGACCTTTGTGGCTTCTTCTCAGAAAGCCGCTCCCAATATTGTGTCAAAGATGACCACCAGATCTCCAGATTTACATCCTCCCAGCTAGCAATCCCAGCTCATGGAATGTGTGTCTTTCCTGGTTGTTCCAACAAAAATCCTAGGAGTGATACTTGCTGAGTTACATATTTAATCCTAGAGTTCAGGGATGGAATCAAGCCTATCCAAACCATATGAACTAAGAAGGAAGAAGAGGTTGCTCACTAAAGTGATGCTGAAAAGACAAACATGTATCTGCACCACTGGTATATCAAGTTCATGTTACTGGCCATATTGAACATAAGTATCATCAATGGAGTAAATGAGCAAAAGCACCCTAGTTATTATAGGGACAGAGTGTTTTTGTAATACTTTTTGTAATACTTCTGCATAAGTCAAAGGTTATCAAGCTCTTTAGCCCCCTTTGTCTCTAATAAAATTGTCAGTGGTGAGCCCAAAATCAAAGAGGAAATGTATTATTTAAAAAAGAAAGGCAAGCAGAAGGCAGAAATCACAGACAGACTTCCTTATGTTGGCAGAGTGGAATGCTATTATTAGTTGCCTATGTCATCCTTTGTGGTATCTCTGCCATAAATTAGCTAAATTATATGTGTTTAGGCTTTAACTACTAGAAGACACAAGTGCTTTTTCAGTAGTACGATGGTTATTTGACTCACCGCTCTTTCTTATTTCAAAAGGCACAACGGCTCTGTAAACGTTGTGGGCAGGCCTGGAGGGCTGCAACGCTTGAAGGCTGGAAGCTGTATCATGACCCTAATGTTAATGGAGGTAATTTGGTAGATGTTATTCTGAGTTGAGGATTAAAGTACTTAGCTCCAAATGCCACTATTTATGAAGTATAACTTTTCTTTTTAGAAAAGGTTGAGATAAGGAGATCTCAGTTTAAGCTATAAATTTTCTTTCTTTTGCTGTTTTATAGGAATGGAATTAGAACCTGTTGAAGGGAATCCCTATAGATGCATTTGGAAAATAAGTTGTTGGAGAATGGCAGAAGATGTAAGATATAACAATATTTTTTGGAACTAATTTTTTTACTCCAGTTAATTAAAGGCTCCTGATGTGCTGTGAAATATTCAGAGTGGCATAAGACTCTAAAGTTCCTGTTTTCAAGGAAGTTTAAATCAAATTGAGAAATTGGGGTGGGCACGCTTAAGTACTAGGCAGAACTTTTTGGATACTAAATAATAAGAATTAAACACTGATGCAAGTCAAAAGTACAGAGGAGATACCAAATGATTTCAAAGAAAAAACATTGAGCTAAAATTGGCTTTCCAGGAAAGACAATTTAATTGAACTTTTTTAAAGTAACAGGATTTGGGCATCAGAAGAAGAAGAAATTGTAGAAAAGGTGATGGTGAAACAATGCATAGGCTGGAAAACTCAAGGGAATGTAGTTCTACCAGATCGGAGTGGAGTGTCTAAAAGGAAATACGCGTAGTGTGTTAAAATGGGACATGCATTTCTAAAAATCATTATACCATGCAAAATTGTACAAAAAACACTTAGTGCTTTGGGAAAAATGGAGGTAAGGGCACACAGTTCTTCCATAATACATAAAAAAGATAACAATGATAGCAGTTTTACACATGATAAGTGGTTAAGAAACACATAAATACTGCAAGAAATATGATGCTTTACCTTGAAAACAACCTGAAGTTTTCTTGTGGAAATGGACATCAGAAGGGCTGTGGCTTGTGAGTTATTACAGAATAGTGGGAGGAGGGCTATGTGACATCGAATGGAAAGTTGTAACACTAGATGCACATGGGTATGACTTGTAACATACGTGGTAAACTAAGATAGCTGGTAGATGTTTGAGGTACGTCGGTTTTTTGTGTTTGTAAGCAACTTGGTTCATTTGGGTGCCGTTTTCTGCATTTACCTAGTACTTTTTTGTGGATGAAATCACACATAAACAAATGGGATATTTGTGTAGTGTCAAGTTGTTCCTTGATAATGTCAGTCATGTTGAAGAAAATTCACATTTTTAAAACATGAATTATAGCAGAACTGACTCTAATGGATAATTTACTGAACAAGGTGAATTAGGAACAGGCAGTGTGATCCTCAAATGCTGTGCTAAGGATTTCAGATTTTATGGCATAGGTAGTAATGGTGAACTATCAAAACCTTGAGGGTGCATAACAGTGTTTTAAGATAGCATAAAAGAACTCACTGCAATCGAGTCGATTCCGACTCATAGCAACCCCCATTGGGTTTCTGAGGCTGTAATTCTTAACGGAAATAGATCACCCCATCTTCCTTGCATGGAGCAGCTGGTGAGTTTGAACCTCTCACCTTCTAGTTAGCACCTAAATGCCTTATCCACTATGCCACCAGAACTCCTTAAGATGAGTGTGGCAGTGGAAAATAGGCTTCAAATTGATCACACTAAGGGAGCTCTGGTAGCATAGTGCCTAAGGCACTTGACTGCTGACCAGAAGGCTGGCGGTTCAAACCCACCAGCCACTCCCCGGAAGGAAGGTTGGGCAATCCTACTTCCGTAGTGATACTGCCTCGGAAACCCAAGGAGGGGTCGCTATGAGTCGGGGCCGACTCGACGGCAAATAACAACAACAACAACAAGCAATGTGTGTCTGTCCTAGGAGATTATTGAGGTGTGTAGAAAGAAAGGGAGAAAAATGGTCAGGAGGACTCAGGTCTCTGAAGTCTCTTGTTTGGATGACAAGAAAACTGGAAATGCCACCTGACTGAAGCCCAGAACTTAAAAGATAACAGATTAGTTCTACTTAGGAATTTGATGCAAACTGATGAATGACACATTCCAAGTGCCTTGTTTTGTTGTACTTAGGTCAGAATCAGATATTTGGAAACTTTCTAGGAGAAAACATCAGTACAAATTTTTATCTAGAATAAAATTTGACTATTGTAGATAATCAAGGCATCTATTCAAGTTGCATCTGCTTTTACACTGTATTTGAAATTTAGATGTTTGACTTTTTCTTAAGAATTTCAGCATTGATTATTAAACTGAATCAATTGAATAAATTTAATTTAGAAGACTTTGCAAAATTACAGATGATTATGAAGAAAATTGCATACTAAGAAAACCATTTCAAATTTGTTGTATTCATTGTATTTTAGGAGCTTTTTAATAAATATGAGAGAGCAATTTATGCAGCTTTAAGTGGGAATCTCAAGCAGGTATGCAAGCTATTTTAATCAGTTTTTTCCTATGAAATGAAATTAGATATTTAAAATATTCTAATAATTATATATAATATATGATATAAACTTAAGTTACTTTTTAAGAGCAGCAATGATAGAGATTTCATGAAGCAGAATAGTGAATAATTTGATGTGACCATGTGTGCATGTTTTAATAAATGAAATCAGACTTGAATTTCTAACTAAGAATTAGAAATTTAATTGCCAACTCACACTTACTGATGACTCGTAGTACTCATAATATTATATCTAGAAATGTACCAGTAAGGCATTTCCCCATGCTCTCCTCCCATCTTGAGTTTATGTTAAAAGAATGAGTTAAAACTCCATGTTGTATCACCATGGAAGTTGATTCTATTATGAATTCAGTATGGAAATAATTCTTAGAGTTCAGATTTCTTGGAAGATACAGTTTAAAAAAATGGATATTTTGTATGATTTTTTAAAATCTACACTTTTATGTCAGAAGTAACTTTACTTACAGTCCATATCAATGAGTGTAACTGCTTTTTGTTTCTTTTTTTGTTGAATATGTATATGTGTTTCTGTTTTGTAATGGGGGGAAAGCTTCTTCCTGTCTGTGACACCTGGGAAGACACAGTGTGGGCCTACTTCCGGGTGATGGTGGACTGTCTTGTAGAACAGGAGATCCGGACATCAGTAATGACTCTGGATGAAACTGAAGAACTTCCTAGAGAATATTTGGAAACAAAGTGAGTTTGTTGGTTTGTTTATAGTCATGTTGTAATCTTTTAAGTTTTTTGTTTTTTTTTTATAGCCCTTGGTTATATTGTTAATATTCACTTTTCTGTTCTTTCTTTCTAAAGTTGGACTTTAGAAAAGGTTTTTGAAGAACTTCAAGCTACTGATAAAAAGGTAAAATATTAGTCTAACATTTTAAGATCTCTGGAATAGGAAGCAATAAATGTTATGCTGGTATGCACTGTGGCTGAAAGGCAAAAAAATACGTGAAACCTTGGGACTCCATTCAGCTTTCCATACCTTTGGCATGCTGATGATTTCCCTCATCTTGAATGATTGTCTTTGTCCTATCTGAGGCTTAATGAAAGTGTCTCTATTGAAGAAAACAAATATATATATATGTGAAACTTTAATCTCCCTTCTTTTCCTTCTCTTTTATTAAAATGAGAGACTTTTTTTTTTTAAAGGAAAAAAATTTTAATCACATATTTAAATGATATTTCATTTGTTTCTTTGGTTTAGGATTGGTTTCATCTAAATATGTGGTATGCATGTAAGCTAATTTATCTCTTTGCTTTTGAAAATTTAAAATACATAACGGAAAGTTAACAAAAACTTCCTTTACCTAGACCTCAGTTAATCTAGTAATTTTTAAGATAATATTTAAATTTAAAAAAAATAAAGTAATACTCTATGTACTTGTAACAATGAAATAATGGACATGTATAAATAAAACTTTCACAGTTTCCTTCCAAATACTTTATGGTTATTTTCATTTCCTTCAGGTGGTAAAAGATACTAATATGTAGCCTTCTATATCCTTCTCTATGTACTTAGAAATACGTGTCAGTAGTGTAATTATTCCAGCATAGGATTTCAGTTTTGTTGTTGCCTTTTTGCATTATACTACATACATTATTCTACAACTTGATTTTTATTTTCTTCATTTGATTATAATCTCTCCAAGTTAATGAATATGGATTTAACTTAACCCCAAATTATTCTTTTAAAAAGTACATAATGTTCTGTGGAATGATGTACAGTTGTTAAAGTCATTCTCTTTTTGGTGATATTTAGGTTGTTTCCTGTGATGTAATGAGCTTTCTTTTTTTTTTTTTTTTT